ATCTACTTACAAAGCTTTATCTGCCCAAATGATTGCTTCATTATATTAACCAAGCATTCTTAAACTGTCAGCTATTACATTAAAATATAAACATACCTTTACACCATAATGATGATTAATGTTTTGAATTTAAACTTAATGCTTAATCTAATATTTTAATAGCCTCATCAAATTTTTAATCATTCCAATATAGTTTATATCCTAAATTATAAATTTAATACCTTTTTAATATAATTCTTCTGATTTAATAAGATTTAAGTTAGATATTTGATAATAAGTTAATTGAGTTAATTGTAATTCAGACAATAACTTTTATATTTAAGATTAGAATTCATTTGTTTATTATTATACTTAGTAATTGATTGTTTATTCATAAGATCTGAAATTTACACTTTACTTTAAGTAAGAATTCATTTATTAAGAATTTAAGTTCAAGAATTATTATTTAGATATTTGATATTTGGATCTTATTCCTCCAATTAATAAATAAAAGTCTTGATATAGCAAATCCATTTATTTAGTCATTTTATTAATTAAATCCTCACATTCCTTATCAATTTTTTAAATATGTTCAAATAATTTAGGTAATTCTTCTTAATGTTAAGGATGAGAAACATGAATTCCATTTTTTATACATTAAATGCAATATAATCTCTCTCCTTTACAAGATTCATCAAAACATACTAATTTAACATTGTTAGTATGCTCTGAATTTGGGCATTTGATAGTTATATCATCATTTTAATTCATAATTAATATATTTATTAAATCTTTTTCTATTTCTATTAAAATGCTTTTTATATTACAATACTTCAAATTTATATTAAAATACTTTTAAGATTATTTTTTAATTTATTGAATTAATATAATAGATCTTTTATTTTCTTATAATTTCCTAGTGTTTATTAATTCTTTACAGTTTCTTTATAAATTTTTTGGTTTTGTCAAACACACATCTCTAATATAATTTATATATCTTTATCATTAATTTTTAGAGTCACAAAGCAGCAAAAGATTGAAACTTTTATGCATGTATTTAAAATTATATGTGTGCATCAATTCAGGAGAATTACAAAATGAGTTCTTTTAACATTTATTGTTTTTATATATATAAGTATTTTACTTAGACAATTCAATATCTGCTTTTCCCTTAAACTTATTTAGCCCAATTAGAATGTGTACCTATTTCATAAGCCATCTCTTTTTCAAGTTTTGATCTACAGTAGGTCATTTGATAGTAAGATTTAGTTTGGCATTATATAAAATTTTTATTATAACTATTCTTAATAGAATTGTAATTGAGAGATTACAAAGTTTAAGTATAACATTTAAATTAAAATAAATTGAAGTATCTATCAGAATTACGTGAAAAATTTATTTAAAATGAAGGTAAACGAGTATACTCTTTTTTGCAAATGGATTTTCAGATTAAACTAATTTAAACACTATACAATACAATAATTAGTTTATTAAGAGATAATTCTTATTCAAATCTATTTTTAAACATTCTTCAAGAAAGAATACAAGTGTTATCTTTTTTATATTTGCACTAATACTAGTTTATAATCTGAATCATCATAAAAACTTAATTTAAATTGTTGATTTAATAAATACCATAATTTTTGATAATTTTACTTTTAGAAATTTTTCAAATAATTATCTTTTTCATTAAAAATTACTTACAAACTAATTTTTTTTCAAAAACATATATATACAGCACTTGAAAATAATAATATTTAAGTTGAATTTAATCTGATGCTTTTATGTAAATTATTCTTCAAAAGAGATCACCATAGGTATTGCATATTTTTATTTTTACATTATTGATAATGAGGAATCTAAGAAATAGGATATTTCTAAAATTCAGATAATAGATTTAGATTTGAAATATTTGTAGAATAAATTCATTCAGTAGAATTTTTCTTTTATTAAATACTTCTTTTATGAGAAAATATCATACTTTATAAACTATTGAAGAAAATCAAGTTAAAAATTTTAGTTTTAATACTTAAATCAGAAAATTTGCTGAAGTTAAAATAGAAATGGATGGATAATATTAATAATATTGTATTTATTTAAAAAAAATATTAAATTTATTATTATTCTTTTTTTCACAAAGGGTAGTTCACTTTTTAATTCAAAAAAATGAAAATTGATAAATTGAGCTATCTACAATTCACCAATATAAAACTGTTTTTCAAAATTAAATGTGCGTACTTTTTTGTAGATATGAAATTTACCTAAACTTTATCATTAGAATTCAGTTGAAATAAGTATGCAAATTAGAATTTTACTGCAAAAAAAAGTTGTTAAATTTTTTTGCTTTATGCATTTTAATATATTTTTCCTTATTTACATAGAAAAGCGACAAGAGTTAGGCGTTAAGTAATTATTTTATTTAAATGACATTAAAGAAGGAGTTAAAATTTATAGGTTTATCAGTTTTTGAAAGATAATTGGGTTATGTATACTCCATCTTTTAAAAGACTACGATTATATTATTATATCCTATATAGATTAATGATACTTCATGAATTAATAAGAAATTAGATAATCATAGAATATACCCGAGTGGATTTATACCAAAGATTAATAATCTAATGACTTACATTAAGTGAGTCTAGTAAAGACAATTTTCTTTAAAATTAATCATAAGGAAAACTATAATGAATTATCAATAGAAAGAACTATTTCTTAATATGTTATTCTGAAATCTAATCAAATTTATCAATATCAAAGAAATCTATGCTCTTCAATTTATAAACTATTTGATCTTAATGAAATTAAAGGCTAGGCTCTAAGTTTAACAAATATATAATGTTTTCGATTCAACCAATTTCATTTCATAATGAAAATCCCTATCTAGCATTTATGAAAAAAAAAGATTCATTTATTTCTGGAAGTGATGATAAGACAATAAGAATATGGGAAAAAAATAACAAATTTTGGAATTGCTCATATATATTAGAGGGACATGAGGGGACTATTTTTTGTTTAATATGTCACTCTAAAGAAGATCTAATAATTTCTGGAAGTGCAGATAATACAATTAAATTTTGGAGTTAATAAGTAAATTTACAATAAGCTGTGTCTGGAATTAAATAAGAATGGTTATGTTTTTAAACTATTACTACCCATACTAATCATGTATTTAGCTTGTCTTTAAATGAATAATCAAATACATTACTTTCATGTGGAGGGGATTAAAGAATATTGGTAATTCAGAAAAAAAATTAGATTTGGAATGTTGTTTAAACAATTAAAGTTTAGAGATATGGTTTTAGGATTCTTTTTATAAAAGAAAATAAATTCATCTTTTAACCAAACAACCATACTCAATTATGGATATATGAGAAAAAAGATAAAGATAAAGAATTTATTAAAACCTAAGAAATATAAGTGAAAAATGGAAATTCTTGTTAATGTTTTTTTCCTTTGCAATTTTTATAGAATATACCCTAAACTACAAGTTTCCTTTTTTAATTGAAAAAACTATAATGAATAGTCAAACTAAAACAAAATATAGATTTTAGTTTCACAAGATTTTAGTTTCACTTAATTTTTAAAAATTTATTTATCAGATATTATGAATAATTAAATGAATTTGAATTAAAAATAAGCAGTTCTGGTGTTTTTGATTAATCCCTTATATTGGAGGAGACAATAGAGAAGTTCTTGCGATTGTATACAAATATGGTCATTTTATGATAAAAGATTATGTTATATGTAGCAAAATAAATATTACATTTTTAAAGTAGACAAAAATCCCTAAATATTCAATATTATCTATTAACTAATAAGACTTAGACTGTTTTCACTTAAA